GATGCTTAACCGACCGAGCCACCCAGGTGCCCCAGTATTTCCCAGACTTTTTAAAAGCAGTCTTCTCAAATTTATTTTCTCAGAAGAGTATCACAGAGGATGGATTTTACTCACTAGTAACATAGTGGATATCACTGCTTTTACAACAAAAGCTAATTTCTGGGGGGGGCGCCTGGGTGGCTTAGTCGGTTAAGCAACCGACTTTCGCTTAGGTCATGATCTCGCAGTTCGTGGGTTCGAGGCCTGTGTCGGGCTCTGTGCTGACTGCCAGCTCAGAGCCTGGAGCCTGTTTCATTCTGTGATTCCCTCTCTCTCTGACCCTCCCCTGTTCACGCTGTCTGTCTCTCTCTCCTAGAAATAAATGAAACATTAAAAAAAAAAAAGCTAATTTCTGGGGCGCTGGGCGGCTCAGTTGGTTAAGCGTCTAACTCTTGATTTTGGCTCAGGTAATGGTTCATGAGTTTGAGCCCCATGTCTGGCTCCACTGCTTGGGATTCTGCCTCTCCCCCTGCCCCCGCCTACTCCCCTCTGTTCCTCCCGAGTGCATGCTCTAAGTAAATAAGTAAACTTAAAAAAAAAGTTAATGTCTTAAAGTTATCATTTTCCCTCTCATTTCCCAAAACTAGAAAAGCTTACCTAACAAATATGTGACAAAATATGGCCACACTTATTTTATAAATAAATAAATAAATAAATAAATAAATAAATAAAGGGGCACCCGGGTGGCTTAGTCGGTTAAGCGTCCGACTTTTGCTTAGGTCATGATCTCGTGGTTCGTGGGTTCGAGCCCTGCGTCGGGCTCTGTGCTGACTGCCAGCTCAGAGCCTGGAGCCTGTTTAAGTCTGTGACTCCCTCTCTCTCTCACCCTCCCCTGCTCACGCTGTCTCTCTCTCTCTCCTAGAAATAAATAAAAATATTAAAAAAAAAATATGGCCACACTCAGATATATCCAAGTCAGCATCTCAGAGCGTGAATGGGTGTGTGTGTGTGTGTGTGTGTGTATGTGCAAGCGTGCGTGTGCACCAGAGAGACAGAGACAGAGAGATACAGGGGATGGGGGGATTACTGTTGTCATACTTTTTCTTTCTCTTCTTGCCTGCCTCTCAGGCTTCTCTGTGCTCCAAAGATGCTAATCATTGATTCAGAGATTTTATAATGAAGCATAATGAAGGCAGCGGAAGTCCTCCAGGATTTTCATCACTGCCTGGTGACAGTGTCCACTGACAGGACAAACCTGTCAGCCAGTGTGATAGAAAACAATGAATCCTATTCAAAGGAAATGGTCTGAAAATGGGTTGATGAGTAGTAAAAAGTACCCTGAACAGTGTTTAGCACAGAATAGACCCTGGAGAAATGGTAGTTTATTTTTTCCTTCCTTTTCCCTAAATGGATTGATTTCTTTTCTTTTTAACCTTTTTATTTATTATTGAGAGACAGAGACAAAATGTGATCAGGGAATGGGAAGAGAGAAAGAGAGAGAGAGGGAGACGCAGATTCTGAAGGAGACTCCAGGCTCTGAGCTGTCAGCACAGAGCCCGATGGGGCTCAAACTCATAGACCGCGAGATCATGAGTTGAGCCTAAGTCGGAAGCTTAACCGACTGAGTCACCCAGGCACCCCCCTTTACCCTGAATTTAAAAACAAGGTAACTGACCTCCCAAGAAGACGAGGCATCTTGCCCAAGGTCCCACGGGAATAAGAGACCGGGCTCTGTCTGCACCGAACCAGGGCTCTGCCCCTAATCCACTGCTCCCCATCTGATAACATGTGATGACACCTTTAAGTATGCTCCGAATGTTAATATTTTCATTTCTATTGATCTGCAGATCTGCCCCTCCTCTGCTCACGTTTTGTCAGTCTTAAAAGGTGGCGGATGTAATAAGCCTAAATTCCTTCCAAAGCCTGGGCACTTTTTTTTTTTTTAATCTCCAATTCTGTGATACAAGTGCAGCACGAACAGAAAATGAGGGTTGGAAATGACCCCCATTAAAGCATGGAGGCAGCACCAGCGGGCAAGCAATGGGGGACTGTTCTGAGCCTCACAGAGGCACGTAGATACCACCAGCATGGTAGTATTAACATTAACATCCATCAAGACTCAAGGAGAAGGTGTCACACGGTGCCAGAACGAGAAACTGGCTTGTTCTTAGGGATGAAATGTCATGGGACAATAATGTTTTCAGAGCACTGAGTGGGCTTCGAAATAGCACCCGGTTGAGTCTGACTGCTCCCCGCCAGTTTGCTGGGCAGGCAGTACTCTTGGCTGAGGAATGAAGCAATTCCTGGGGAAAAGCAGGAAAATGAGCACAGCAGGCATTTTCTCCCCCACAGCTTTAAAGTTAAGAATATCCTGCAACGGGTACTTTTTTACTACAGGATGCTTGATTCCTTGGTGACAACTTTATTTCACAACGATTTTCTGAGCCAGCGTTCACTCTCTCTAAATCTTACTCAAGACTCAGCAATCAAAGAGAATGAAATCTTGCCATTTGCAACTACATGGCTGGAACTAGAGGGTATTATGCTAAGTGAAGTTAGTCAGTCAGAGAAAGACAATATCATATGACTTCACTCATACGAGGACTTTAAGATACAAAACAGATGAGCCTAAGGGAAAGGGAAGAAAAAACAATACAAAAACAGGGAGGGGGACAAAACATAAGAGACCCCTAAATATGGAGAAAAAAACAGAGGGCTGCTGGAGGGATTATGGGAGGGGGGATGGGCTACATGGGTAAGGGGCTTAAGGAATCTACTCCTGAAATCGTTGTACTATATGCTAACTAACTTGGCTGTAAATTTTAAAAAATAAACTAAATCTTCCTCAAGACTGGAAGTGTCTAAATTCACAGAAAAGGTCTGGAAGGATAAAGACCAAACATAAATGCAAGGATATCTGTGAAGGGGAAGCTGCTGACCAGGGGCTGGAGGTGGAGGGGATGCATTACCAGGGACTGCTTATACATTTTTAATTGCCCTTGAGAAGCGGGTTTCAGATGTACTGTAGACCTAAGATTTCTAAAGAAAACTAAGAAACACAGGCTCCATTTTTTAAGTGCCGTTGGTTTCACTCAAAGCCCTAGGAACGAAGCAAACATCTTCCCTGGGTGGTGATACCCAGTGATTAGGAACTAGCCCTGAATCTTCCGTCCTACTTCCCATGCGTCACTTTTTACGTGTAGGGTGTATTACTCCTAAACATATACAAATCCTCAAATATCAGTCAACTTGCAGAAATAATGCCTTCGAGAGCTTGTACAGGAAAAGTGAAAGAGCCATTGTGAGTTCACTTCCTTTCCTGAGCCAGACTCCCTTCGTTTATGGAATCGCTGCTGGTATGTGCCACAATCGAGCTCTGTATTGAGCTGTTCAAAGAAGGCTCTTTCAACACATGGCCGCCAACTCCCTTGCTCCAAACCAAAAATGGAATAGGAGAAATCCATGTATTTTAAGACACAGTCAGGGTGTGTACCCGGTAGCACGGTCTATTTTTAGAAGTTACACTGGGAAACTTTCTTTTTGAATGCATGTAGGAAAAAAACACAACAGTAATAGAAGGGTAACTGCTTGAGTTATTTCATTCTTACAACAGCTCTGTCCAATACGAAGTAGGTGTATCTTTGAAACAGCGTGTAGTTTTAAACTCTTACCATCCCCAAAGGCTTACCTCTGCCTTCATATACCTAACTAATGGGGTTCCTGGAAGACTTCCTGGATTATTTTCAGTAAATAAATTTTAAGACTCCAAAGTCTCAAATCAGGGCCCTGGCAGTAAGTAAACAATAAAGTTTCAGTTACTGACAGAAGTCCAGCGAAGGCCAGCCTAGAACTGGGCACAGGACGATAAAACTCTCACTCTGTGGTGCCCAGAGGGATGACATACATGACTTCTGCCACCCATCAAGTGACAGCCTGCTTGTGTTTTTTCTCGGACACTGTTCATGACTGAGAACACTTAAAAAAAAAAAAAAAGCAACAAAACACGTGGTTACATCTGTGTCAAGAGATGTACATTTCCATGGCCCAATCTTTGATTTTCTATTAGTTTAACTGCTCTTAACCCTTGACTTAAATCTCTTTTCTGGGGCGCCTGGGGGGGCTCAGTCGGTTGGGCGTCTGACTTTGGCTCAGGTCGTGTTCTCACAGTTAGAGCCCGCCACTGGCTCTGTGCTGACAGCTCGGAGCCGGGAGCCTGCTTCGGATTCTGTGTCTCCCTCTCTCTCCACCCCTCCCCCACTCGTGCCCAGTCTCTCTCAAAAATAAACATTAAAAAAATATTTTTAACAAATAAATAAATAAGTCTCTTCTTTCCCCCTAAGTATGAATGCTCTTCACCTTGAACCTGTTTGCTAAGGAAGAACAGAGGCTCCTGAATCCAAGCAGCCCACTGCTTCTCCAGGCTCCTCCTACTCTCTCCGCTTCGGTCTATGCAGAGAGTTGGAAACAACTCTTCACCCAGCAGGAATCACCACAGGGCCATGGATAGTGGTGCTTATTTTACAATGATATTTAACCAAATATGGCTAAAATCACATTACAGAAAATTCTTATGATTCCCTGAAAAGCAGAATAAATAAAACAGACAACAGTAGTGTTCCTCCTCCTAAAATCCCACTCTTGCCTTAAAGGATCCAGATTAAATATACCATGTGTTTAGCACAGTCTACATGAAGAGGCTGTCTGCCTAGAAAGTTCTCCATAGCTCCATGTTAACACTGGGAAGTCAAAGATTTCACTGTCTCCACACTAAAACTTGGCTCCTGGGGCTGCTCTTGTGATTAAAAGTATAAATATAAGAAGTTCCTAAAAAGGCTGAGTGGCCAGTTAATGTGATTGACTGACCTTGTGACTTATCCACAATACTTACACAAGTTAAATTTGTCCACAAATCCGCTGAACTTTATAAATGCATTTCCTTTAAAGAAGATACACATACACAGGCAAGAGGATCAAACTGGAAATACACTCAAGTTAATTTCAAACCACCGACAGAATCTTACCTTTTCAGGTCCACTGTAGTGACACTAAATACAACTCCTTTGAGCCACAGGATCATGAAAAGCCTCTGGGAAAAGGGGCAGTTTCCTATGCTTTCACCATCGCTGCCAGCCTAGGAAACAGAAACCAACACTGGAAATCAGGGTCAGAAGGATGACACTAAAAACAAAAGACCTTCTTCTGACTTATAATCAAGGGCCCAAGAAGACAGGAAAAGTTGCATTACAGAAGGAAGGCTGGAAACTTGGGTTTCTGCTGTTATCTTGTTCTTTGATTTGCCTTCTCTCTTCTTAAAAATGGCCAGTCTACAACAGCATGGTCCTAGAGAATTTTCTGCACAGGTAGAATTGATCTGTATTACCACTCTTCAATTCAGTAGTCGTTCGTGACACAGGGCTAAAGTGAGTGCTTAAAATGTAGCTTGTTCGACGGAGGTTTTTTACTCGCTTTTAATTAATTGTATGAAACCTAAGTCATTTCCTGTTCCAGGAGACAATATTCTTTACAAGGCAACATAAAGAGGGAAATTTACAGGTGTGTCTATCTCCAAAATGTTAAATCATCACCAACCCCTCCCTGTTTAAAAATATTCATTATAAAAATCCCATATCCTGCTTTACACATCCCTTCAGGAGCAAGAGAATAACAAGATATCTTTATAATAAGCTATTTGTAATCCTACTTAATGTGAATGGAGCAGCTGACAACTTCCCCGAGCTCGACGATGAGGTAGAATTTTCCTAAAAATCAGAGTGGGACAAATCTTTAATTCCATCACATATGCCCCAAGTTTACAAAGGAGGGACAGGGGAAGCAGGAACCAGGAGGGGGGAAAGAAAGCAGCACACTAGAAGAGAACATTCTAACACTTGCTAGGGAGCAACGCAGCCCTCTTTACCACAAAAGGTGGAAAAATCCAGAAATAACTTTCAGCAACTCATTCAAAGACGAATGATTCAAGTACTATTTATTATCCTAAAGTCACTCTCAAAGTATTCAGAAGTCATTTCAGTAAAATGGTACATTAGTAAAGTATTCCGAAACTAATGGGGAAATAGGGTGGGGTAAAAAAAAATAAAAGTAGTTAACTGATTAAACATAACACAACTAACAAAATACACGGGCATAAAAGGAGGATCCTAGAACCCTTCCCTAATCAGCGTGGGAGAGGCACAGCTGAGCTTGGTTTAAAAAGAAAAAATCATTCTTTATCAGAAACAAAATATACACAGAATTATAGACAGACTGACTCATTCAGTAATTTCTAGTACTGCAACTTGCACAAAACTTAACTTCCTAAAGAAGATCTAGTTCTTCAACCTTAATGTGATTAAGAAGAACCTAAATAAGAGGCACCTGGGTGGCTCAGTTGGTTGGAAATCAAGAGCTTCCAACTCTTGATTTCAGGTCAGGTCATCATCCCCAGGTCATGGGACTGAGCCCTTGGGGGGCACGTGGGTGGCTCAGTTGGTTAAGTGTCCAACTTTGGCTCACAGTTTGTGAGTTGGAGCCCTGCATCCGGCTCTGTCCTGATGGTGTGGAGACTGCTTGGGATTCTCCCTCTTCCTCGCAGAGTCTCTGCCCTTACCCCACTTGAACTTTCTTGTACTCTCAAAATAAATAAACTTAAAAAAAAAGTCTCTCTCTCGCTCTCCCTCTGCTTGAACACTTTCTCTCAAATGAAATGTAAAATAATAATAATAACCTAAACAAAACAGCTTAGATAGAAGATTCCTGGGCCTTATATCCAGAGATTGTGATTCAGAAGAAATCTTGGGCGGAGCCCAGGAGCCCTCACCGTGTTACGGGCACCCAAGGAGACCACACAGCAAAGCATCTGCTAGCCACACTGAGACACTGACGTGGGAAGGTCAGGGTGATATTCCTTCTTCAAAGCACAAGTCAGTTCATGACATTAAATCATCCGATGATACAATGTCACAAACTGGTATACAAAGTTGCTTTTTTAAAGAGGCTGGCTATCCCTACATAGAGAACATTGATAATAACATAAAAGTGAGTTTATCATGGATAATAAAAAGTTAAGATATTCTCTTTCTGTATAGGTTGTGGATTAATATTTTACACAAGGCTGTGGCTTTAGATACTCAAATATTTTTTTTAACGTTTTTTTTATTTTTGAGACAGAGACAGAGCATGAGAGGGGGAGGGGCAGAGAGAGGGGGAGATAAAGAATCTGAGATAAAGAATCTGAAACAGGCTCCAGGCTCTGAGTGGTCAGCACAGAGCCAGATGCGGGGCTTGAACCCACAAACGTGAGATCATGACCCGAGTCGAAGTCGGAGGCTTAACCGACTGAGCCACCCAGGCACCCCTAAATACTCAAATATTATTATCATTCTTGTTTTGTTTTGTCTTCCCCTCCTTGTTTTCACCTGTTCAGTAGCACAAGTAGAAGTACAAGATGGGCGCCTGGGGGACTCAGTCGGTTAAGTGTCCTACTCTTGGTTTGGGCTCAGGTCATGATCTCGCAGTTTATGAGTTGGAGCCCCAAAGCGGGCTCTGGGCTGGCAGTGCGGAGCCTGCTTGGAATTCTCTCTCTCCCTCTCTCTCTCTGCCCCTCCCTTGCTAGCTCTGTCTCTCTCTCAAAACAAATAAACTTAAAAAACAAAGTATAACTACAAGAAAAACCACACCAAATTTCAGACTTCCTGAAAAAGCAGTAGAGTTTGGTAGCCCAAGACCAAGTCTGACTCACTTTGTCCTATTCCATTTGTGTAATCTATAAAATGAACTATAATTTCCCCCAAACGTCTGTCATAGGAGTATAAAATAATTAAATCGGTAAAGAAGTTGTAGTAAAGATGTTACATATACCCACTTGGAAAGACACAAGACCAAAAGCAAGCCAGAGATCAAGAGCGACAGGCTGCAGACCAGAAACACCGCAGCACAGCGCCTACGACCGTGTGCACAGCACTTGCTACCGTACGGACCCAAGGACCCCGGGACATGGACGCACCTCGAAGACCTAGTCAGGATACAAATTCCCCCTTTGCCTTCGTGCTCTTCCGTCCCAGGCTCATCTAAAGCTTGTCACACATCTCGCACTCCTTATAAAACGATTCTTTTACACACATCCTAAAGAAGTATGTGTACTCTTTAAGACTGATCTGAAAAACTGCTTCTTCATTCATGACTCCCCAAACTCAGGACAGCTCAAAGGAGAAATATTGCCAACTACAAGCTTTTCCGAACTTTTAAAAGCCAGAGCAGGAGCTAAGAGGATGTTTTCATCAAGTATATCTGGAAAATTTTGGATTTCTAGAAGTCACAAGTCAAAGACTCCCTCCTTTAATCCCTGTTGTGATAATAAAATTCCACTTAAACATTTCAATAAAATTCATTCAAGTTAAAGGATCAAATTACACCCTTCAATATGAACTACGTTCAACATAACCTATTGATACAACTGACAGAGGCAGGCACTACGGTAGAGTGGAAAGCATTATAAATCGAGATACCTTTATTCCATACTCATTATTAACAATAATAAAAATTAACACATAGGTATATCTAACAATAGCACCTAAGAAAAATATATTAAAAAAAAATATTTGCTTCTTACTGCTTCTAACAGTACATTCATGATTTTAGAGATAAATAAAACCTGAAACACTACAGAAAGTCAGAGTTCCTCTACCCTTGAAACATTCACTAGTTTGTTCCTTACTCTTCTAGATTTTTATTTTCTATGTACATACTACTTTTCTTTTTTAAATATGTGATCACTGGGGCACCTGGGTGGCTCAGTCAGTTAAGCGCCCCACTTCGGCTCAGGTTATGATCTCACGGTGAGATCGAGCCCCGCGTCTGGCTCTGTGCTGACAGCTCAGCACCTGGAGCCTGCTTCGGATTCTGTGTCTCCCTCTCTCTCTCTCTACCCCTCCCCCGGCCCCCACCACATGTGCTCTGTGTCTGTGTGTCTCTCTCTCTCTCAAAATTAACATTAAAGAAATTTAAATATGTGATCGCACTATACATAACGTTTTTTATAACCTACATTATTTTATTCTCAGTTGTAATGTAATCAACCCTGCACTGCTCTCACCAGGATGGTGTCTGAGAGGGCCAAGGTGGGAGCCAGGGCTTTCAGCCCTGCCCGTTAAGAGGGAACCCTGCTCCCCTCTGCTCGCGTGCAGGTCACAAGAGGCGCAGGGCAGAGCGGTCAGACATCCACCGTCAACCAGAGGGAATGAGACCGCCTGGCCTGGACGCCAGCGAAGACCACACGGGGGCTCCCACTCCAGCCCCGCAAAACTGAAGAGTGGAGGCAGATAACCAGTCTCTGTGTGGCTGTAACAGGCAGTGCTGCTGCCCTTCTCGGCCCCCTCCACAGTGTCAGAGAAGTCTTCTTCGAGAGCCAGGGAAGTCTGAGCAACGTTTAAACAAGATCCTGAATCTCGTAACATAATATGAAAATGTCCCAGTTTCCATCACAAATCACGTGTCATACGAAGAACCGCATCAAATTGAATGAAAAAAGGCAATCAATAACATGAACATCAGGATGACAGAGATGTTGGAATTTACTGACAAGGGCTGCAAAGCGGCCATGAGAGAAGTGCTTCAAAGAGCAATTATGAACAGCCTGAAACAAGTGAAAACATAGACTCAGCAAAGAAGTAGAAGATGTAAAGAAGAACCAGATGGAAATTTTGCAGCAAGAAAAGGGAAGGCTTAGTTTATGCTATTAACCCAATAATTTCATTTCTATAAATTTATTCTGTAGAAATGTGTATACAGATGCCCGGAGAGAGAGCGGAGCAATGATACACTGTAACAGCAAGCCACTGGAAATCACCCAATGCCAATCAATTTATTAAATTAGAGACCAGCACCAGAGGGCAGATGTGTGGGCTAACCACTTGCCTTTGGCGCTATGGGTAGGGGCAGGGTGACAGTTTTTCCCCGTGGTATTTAAAGTAGAGCAGCTATTGTCTAAAAGCTTTCTTTCTTTTTTTTTTTTTTTTAAGAGAGACACAGAGGAGGGGCAAAGAGAGGAAGACACAGAATCCAAAGTAGGCTCCTGGCTCCAATCTGTCAGCACTGAACCAGATGGGCTCGAACTCACAAACCACGAGATCGTGA